CGTGAAGTGCGAAATCGGACTCTGCATTTCCGGATTTTTTTGAGAATTCCACACGAAGGCAACATTCCGGCAGATGACGCAGGTGGGAAGACAGACCCTCCATGCAGATGGTGGCCAAAAATTATATAAGTAGGACATTATTTTCTACCTTAAAAATGTATTTCAAATAACGTCCGCACGCGCGGACTGTGCGACCCCATATGGGGCCATTCGTACCGCTGACTTTATTCTTGTGACCCCATACGGGGCCATTAGTCGTTTAAAGGTTAAAGTGAGAACTATTTTTTTAAAGGTACAGCTTCCAACCATGGACTCGGAACCAGAAATATGGACTTATGTTCACTCCTTCATTTCGTTTATAAATATATAAAGGGGATGGACAAAAATATGGAAACACCTCATAAAATGCATGCCTGAATTGAAGTGTTTATTTTAGCGGCATTTGTAGGTGACACTGTCATATGCACCCAATACCACTACCTGTACAACCTCCACAATACACTGCAAGCTTCATTTGTTGCAGACAGTGTTCTGTACAGTTTTTAGTGCTTCATGTCAGAGCTAACAGAATTCAAATGCGGGCAAATTGTTGGGGCCCGTATGGTGGGTGCTTCCGTAACAAAGGTAGCCAAGGTTTCTGGTGTTTCACGAGGCACAGTATCCAAGATTATGACCACATACAGGACTGGAAAAACCACATCTGATAAACACGAGCATGGACGGAAATCTGTGTTGAGTGATAGAGACAGACAAACATTGTGTAGGATTGTGATGATAAATAAGAAGACTACAGCTGCAAAAGTGACTGCTGAACTGAATGTCACACTCACAAACCCTGTCAGCACCAAAACAGTACGAAGGGAACTCTACAAGCGGGGCGTTTCCGGACGAGCTGCAATTCCAAAGCCACTCATCAGTGATCAAAATGCCACTAAGAGGAGAGGATGGTGCCGATGTCATAAAACCTGGACTATGGAGCAATGAAAGATGGTCATTTGGTCAGATGAGTCCACCTTCATACTGTTTCCGACTTCTGGCCAAGTTTACGTCTGGAGAACGTCATCCCAAGCTTATGATCCAGATTGTTTGCTGCCATGAGTGAAACATGGCGGGGGTTTGATCATGGTATGGGCAGCCACATTGTGGTATTCTGCCAGACCCATTATTACTGTGCAAGGTCACATCACTGCCAACGATTATGTGACCATTTTGGGCGACAAGGTCCATCCTGTGGTGCAAACTTTGTTCCCCAGTAGTAATGCCATTTACTGAGACAATGCCCATGTTCACACAGCTAACATCGTCCAGGACTGGTATTCTGAGCGCGAAAATGAAGTGTCATGTCTACCATGGCCCCCACAATTGCCAGATATCAATATTATTGAGCCTTTGTGGTCTGTTTTGGAGAGCAATCTGCATGCGCGCTATCCACCTCCATCGTTAACAGAACTTGCCAATGTTTTGGAGGAAGAATGGTCAAAGATTCCCTTGCAAATCATACAGGACCTATATTTATCCATTCCAAGGAGACTGCAGGCAGTTCTGCAAGCCAGAGGTTGTCCTACACCATATTAGTCATGGTAATGTGTTTTTTGTTGGGTGTTTCCGTATTTTTGTCCATCCCCATCCATAAATATGATGTACTTATAAAATGTAGCACTTTAAAAACATTCTCATACAGTAGGCTTGACCAAGTCTAAAATGGACTCTTAAGGAGAAGAAATATATCTACTTAATTCCAAACAACTATAATATATTGAACTTAATGGTCAACAACTGCCACCCACAATATTTACACTTGCTCTTGCATCACAGTGAAATACTTATAGAACCACTGTAGCTATCAAGGCATATATGTATCACATCATGTAAAAGAAAAAAATATATAGAAAAATCTCCATGGCCTGCAGTCCGCAAGCAAACTATACCGACCGGGCGACCACCGCTTGTTGGCAAAGTTAGTGCCACCTTTTGTGGATAGGTGTCATGTGGTCAGTGCAACAAATCCACATGGCCGTCAATTTCGGTTTTCTAGATTGGACCGCTATTTCCTTGAAATAGCTACTCAATTATCCTCACAAGGCTGAGTGGACCCTGTTCTAGACCCACTTCTTCTCACAAAATCTGGCAGCACCGGGTATCGAACCCTGGACCTCTGATCTCTAGCTAGGAACTCTGACCATTAGATCAAAGAGGCTATCAAAAGACCAAAATATTATCACAAATTCTTATGTTTTGAAAATATAACAATACAGTAGCAGTGTGGAACTCTGAGATATGTAGGTCTAATAACACTCTAAAAGTAAAACCTAATTTAGCAGTAATTATACACATAAATAAGTAGACAAGTTGTATAATTATTTATTTGTTATGCATGTTGCACTCTTTTCAAGGTGGAAGCATTTGAAGCACAGATGTCTCCCCAGACTGTTCTCATTTATTTACTCAGTTTTTATACATCCTAACTGCACTTGATAGATGGAGCTGCCAAACAATGCAGTTGAATATGTTACACTGCTGCTTCTGGCCTGGGGAACGACCATATTTTGAGATTTTCCATGAATTTCCTCATTTCATAAAGGAATAAGACCAAATAGAATAAAATGAGCCCCTCTATACATTTAGCTACAAACGATAAACGTTACCGTTAATATCAAAAGTATATATGAATAACAAGCAGTGTTATTATGGGCAGTAAATTGGTTTGGAAAAGTAAGAACTGACATGCTGATGTTCAGCAAACATTTATGCATATCACACAGGCTTAAAAATACCAAGTACACTTAAAATGGAATAGATTTTATTTAAAATACTTAAGTAACATCCAAGCACACTGGAAAGATTTATTTAAAGCAGAGTGGTAATGTAAAACAGTTTAATTTTGGTAGGAAATCAAATACAGTACAGACACCAAAGTGTTGTGAACCTATGACTTCAATGACAAATATTGAATTCTGCAGTCTCCACTGTAACTGATCTTTCTGTACTTAAAACTGCCACTTAAATTAAGTCATTCCAAAATATGGAGAATCAAATCAGCATGCATGGAAAATTTTTGGCATTTAGAAAAAGAATTATCTTAATGAACATAAAACTAATCACCATTTTAGTACTACAAACCTGGCACCAGCTCCATTACTATCATGATGGGCTGTTTCTGGACACAAATACCAATAAGTTTTACTATGTTTGGGTGGTCATATTGCTTTAGTATCCGCCCCTCTTGCAGAAACTTCTTCTTGTGTTCATCTGGTAGAGTCATGCGACATGTTTTCACAGCAACTTCCTTCTTGCTTGTCTTGAGATGTGCTTTGTATACATCTCCAAAGTTTCCCTAAATCAACACAATATGTTCAGCAATCTTTATTATGTAAAGAATTACAAAAGTGGGAATTTGTCACAAGTGCCTTCTCAATTTGATCTGGAAAATTCAAGACTCACATGTATACTATCTCCAAAAACCAGCTGAAGTATTGTGTGTACAGAAAACTAGAATACAGAATGAAGTTCCTCACCCGCCCAATTTTATCCAGTAGAACAACATCATCGTTGTTGAGTTCCCAACGTTCTCTTAGGATGGGTTTCCTCAACACAGCACCAGACCTTCCAGTAACAGGTAGACTGCTCTGATACTGATGCAGGATAAGTTCCTGTACTGTTGGGAATGCTGGTCCTTCAAACCGGAAATGACCCTGCGGGTTGCATTCACACATTCTACACTGCCAACTGCATATGACTAATCATAACATGTGAGATTGTTCCACACACTTGCCAATGGCTTAACATAAACAGTGCCTATGGTAATGCCTTTCAGTAACCAGCACTATCACTGAAAGAGCCAAACTGATGTTTCTATGATATCGATAACCATGGCTACCATTCTATGTGGAGACTTAGATAGATATTCACCCAAGTCATATATAACATTAACAGAATTTAATTAACATAATGAGCTCACCTCTGCAGTAGTCTGTACAATGAAATGCTTGTGCCCACCCCAGCACACTGATAAAACAGTCTGGCACTCGTCATTTCTGGTTGTTTCCCTCACAAGGAAGTCTCCTTCACGTGTCAACAACCTCACCACTTCTTCACGGGGCAAAACGCCATGAAACCATTCTTCGTCCACGAGTGGACGATGAGGAGTCAGTGACATCTGTGATCATGCACATCAGTTACGTGACAGTGATTACAATAGCACCATATTCAAACACCCAGATATCAGAATCCTCTTGGGCAAAATAAAACTAAGCGGAAAATAAAACATAAACACATCTTCTGACAATGCGAGGTTTTTGCAGCAGTGACTGTGAAGAGTACTTACTGTCTTCTGGGATGTGGTGTAGTGTAGTCTAGCAGACACTGACATTCTGGAGAAATGTACTGCTTGCTTGGCTTACTTCTTGATCCGAACAGTGGGGGCAATGTACTCCTCCCAAATGTCAGTAATTTCTCCCAGACTACACAGTATAACATACCTGAAGACAGTATTCTTCAGAGATTCTGATAATTCACTGCAAATAAAAAAGAAGATGCAGACTTTTTTTACACAATTTTCCCATAGAGAAATGCAATGCATAGAAAAAAATGTCCTTTAGCTTGTGTTAGCTTACTGATCTTCTATTTAACAACAGAAAGGTGGGTGATGCGTGTACTGCATGCAACAATCAAGATATCAGTAATTCCAGGATAAAAACTGCTTACTTGTTTATGTATTGCAAATTTTACAAGTTTAAATTCACATTTATGAAAGAATAATATTCCTGAAAAATGTTTTATTGACACTTCACAACCAAAATATTTCCCCTTTCTTTTAAAGCTAAAGTTACAAAACTTGAAGACATATTCTTCAGCATTAGAATTCTGGTTCATTTTGTAAGACTTTTTGCCATTGTGTTGAAATGTGGTAACACAAGTTCAAAAAAAAGCATTCCCAAGAAACACTTCCAAATAAATCACTCTCAATAACCTTTATCATTCAGGAATTATGTGATTCTAAACCCCCCAGTACAACAGGATCAATGGACAGGTTGCAACCTGGAGGTAGTGGTGTCAGTATTCAAACAATACATGGCTTGGTCAGGTAGGCTGAACATGTGGGCTCTTACAATAGTGTAATGTATAGCTAATAAAGGTTAAAATATCAACTTCCAAAGAGTCTGCCTTCTCACGAAACAAGAACTACATACGAGTACATGCTCTCATAAAAAAAGTCAATCACAATATTTCTTAAACCATAACATACCAGTCAGTTAATAGCATGAAGTGTCTCAACAATCAGCTTGTTATAATGACAATCTGTATGTGACATGCCTGCATGAAAAACAAATTGTCTCAGCTCTTGCCAAACCATTCATAAAATTTACAGGACACATCTCAGACTAAGAAAGTAAAGAGCAGAAACAAATGCTTAACTCAAGAGGAATTCCTGTAATACCGTGGTGTATATCTAACAGAATAAGTCAAACTGTGTTATTTATTTATCAGTAATTGTTATATTTAACAACAATTTTGGTTGCTCAGGTTACATAGCACTGAACAATACATAATCAGTGAATAAGGAACTGGAAAGATGTGGAAGGAAATAGTTTTGATTTAATTTGAGGTACTATCCTGACATATTCTGGAAGGAAGTGAGGAAAACCACAGAAACCTAAGCCAGAGCAGTCAGAGCAGACTCTGAGCTGGATTCGAATTCAAAACCTCCTGAATATGAAGCAGGATTCTAATCCCTTGAACAAGGCATTCAGTGCATATTCAGTATTAAAAATGTTTCTTACTGCAAAGACTTGTAAATGTGGCATATTACAGCTTTATACACTAAAATCAGAAATGTCATTCATACATGAATTAACTGCCACGTGTTGACTGATCTTCAACAGTAATTATTTACATATCAATAACATACACAGTATTCTGTGACTAAGAATTTCTTCTAAACAAATTTCTAACAGTAACAGCAACACCTGGTAATCACTGATTTTGCCATACTGCAAAATTCAAACATGTATCATTTTAATTTTGAAGATTATCTGGAATAATTACGCACAACTTCCAAATTCTTGTCTGTTAAATCGTTTTTCTCTGTAGTTCTTCCCCCACCAGAAAAGCGTCATTAAAATAGCAGTCCTCAGTAATTTCAATAAATATATTTTGGGCACCTTGTAACACACATATATTACTGATAAATTTAATAATAGTACTATTTAACACACACAATAAACTACACATTTACTTATCAAGCATTAAAACTAGGACCACTCCTCATGTAAGAGTGAAGCAAGCAACTTCTACAGATTAAACTACCTACTGAAACACAATTACAGCAAAAACCATCATTAGTAATAAAATAAATACTAGAAAAGTTGTAAACCCTACATACTTGTGAGTGAAACTGTATTTCCTGCTTCACTTTCCCTACAATGATACATATTTTTACCTCTTCTGTAACAATGGCACCAATCAGTAAATTTATAACTATGCAAAATATATGAATGTCTTTAGACAGTTCAATGTATTTTAAATTTATTATCATTGTTTTATGCTATATATTTAGATAACTGCATATAAACAGGTTTCAATGATATTCATGGCAAGAATTTTTACCCAACACTGAACAAAAGAAAAATTATATCACACTCCTGGAAAACAAAAAACAGTCGCAGATATCCTATTACCTGAGTGCTGTTTTGTTCTGTAACAACTGAAGAACAAATTCACAGCAGTAATAGATGACTTTGTGATCTGATTCATGATTGATTCCAAGATTATTTAATTACACTTTGAGACTGCAAAGGTTGCTACACAGCACCAAATGAGATGGGACAATGATGAATGGTGAGGAGGTAAAGATTTCAAATACGTGACAGTGACTATTTCAAGGAACTATCTTGGGCTTGTTTTGGAGGGACTGTGGAAAACTATACAGCCATTTTCCTGGCTGAGATTCAAACCTGCTACCTCTCAAATACATTACTTCTATACCACTGAATTCTTCCATGATTAGTCTGAATAATGTATACTGCTTTTTGACACAACTGTGCTATAGTGAGAAGCAATTCAGAGAGACCAGACTTCATTTTTTTTCGGAAGATATGATATAACCTGTAAGAATCACGATATATCATTTGCCATCTAAATGTTTATTTTTAAGCTTTACTCTAGAAATATCATTCCTTGTAATGTATTTGTCAATGTTAAATGCATTAATGATGCTAATGTCTTAAAATTCTATAGGTAATATTGGAAAAAATTTACATTCTGCAAGAATATCCCCCCCACAAGTCTTATCTAGATCGATGGCTCAACTGTCAAAGGAACTACTTGCCATAACACCAAGCCAGCAATTTCTTCCCACTGGTGTCCTTGTAGTATCTGTATGAATAAATTTCACGTGGAATAATGGAATGGATTAGGAATAGGAAGGTAGCACCTATGCAGAATTTTATTTAAACTAATATCCTACTTTACTTCATATCTGTCAGACACAAGTTCATTTCGATACTTTCCAAATGAACAGCAGATGCAACGTATGCTTTTGGAATGGAGACGTCAATTATACATTAGATGTACAAAATTTGTAAGCTGTGTGCAAGTGCGCTCACACGCGAACTGTGATTTCACTTTATGAAAATAAGATATAGGTCTGTAAGAATGAACGCAACTATAATGACAAACTGTTTCCAAATTAAAAATTTTTGCAACATCTCTTTTGAAACTCATATTGGCAAATGACAGGGGTTAAAGTTAGTGCATGCAAGTAGCTTACCACAGCGTAGCCACCGTCAATAGACGAGCTGTTACTTGTGCTATGGGAATCAGGTGTAGTAGGGATGAGTGTTATTTCAGCATCACCATGATCATCATAATCATCATCAATATCATCAGCACCACCACCACATACTTTCTCATCATCAGTAGTCTGGGAAGTGTCTTTCTCCTCCTCCCGTCCCTCCCCTTCACTGCGAGGGGGTAGAATGGGGGAGGAAGGAGCAGATACTCTGCGAAATGGTTTGCGAAAGATTTCTACAAAGCGCTGTTGATGCAGTTTTTTCAAAGTCAATGTTGAGGAGGACCGTTCACCACCCTGGAAAATGTTATACACCTTGTTACTCTTAATACCTTAGTAATGGAAGGGAGAGAGAAAGCAAGCGGACTGATATGCTGCTCGCAATGGGTCTTCAAAACTATGAGACTTCCAGTAGTGAATGCAATAAAATATAATTTAGAGCATGACTGCCATAGGAGTCACAATCTCAGGCCTCTGAAAAAGCATGTCATATTATGTCAATGCATGACAAAGATCACAAATACAACTGTACCAAGCACTAAAAGTCTATCTACTTTTACATTCTTCTGAATAAGAATTTCATTTCTGAAAGAAACCTAAATGCAAACCTTATCTTTTGGAAAATCTTCAAATGAAGGACATGGCCCAAATTAGTCTCTCTTTCATTTATCCATTTTAAGTTCTGTCACTCCCAGCCAATTCTGACAGTAAATATTTTAAAACAGAGAACTTGCATAATTCTTTTTAATTGTTGAAAAAGCCAAATAACATTCAGGAATTTGGATTCGCCTGCTGTTATATGATAATGATATAATAAATGCATTTTGTAAAACACAATTTATCACTAGACTGAGAAGCACAGTCTTCAGCTATGGAATCAAAATTATTTTTGGCAGAAGTATCATGCATTAACACAACATAAAGCACATGGCCAGCAAAGTTATATTTTGAAGAACCCAAAGCACAAATGGAAACAAACAAGCTGTTACCCACTACACCATAACTGCAAAACAAGGTTCAACTGTGCCACAACCCACTGATGTCACTGAAAACAAAAAACCATAGCAAACATCTAATGTAGTCTTAACAATACATATACCAACCACATATACTAAACATAAAATAATTACACGCTGTCATTAGCTTTGATCCCAAAAATGTAATCAAATCTGCAGAGAACTAAGTAATGTTTTAACATTCCACAATATCTGCTCAGGAGAAGAGAAAAGCTGACCTCATCTAAGGAGAGAGATAAAAAGAAAATTCAGATTTTCAAATTTTTTCCAACTGATGATTTTCCAATGTAATTCCACAAGCAGGTGGGCAGGGAATGTAGCATGAATGGGGGGGGAGAAGGGGAATGCATATAGGATATTGGTGGGAAAGCCAGAAGGAAAGAGACCACTGGAAGACCAAGGTGTAGGTGGGTGGACAATATTAAAATGGATCTTATAGTTATAGGATGGGATGGTATGGGTTGGATTGATCTGGTTGAGGATAGGGACCAGTGAAGGCCTCTTGTGAACAGGGTAATGAATCTTGGGGTTCCATAAAATGCTGGGAAATTCTTGAATAGCTGTAGAATTGGCAGCTCTTGAAGAAGGGGTCAGCTCCGTGATTAAGCGAACAAGAAAATTCCATGAGTAGATGTATCAGAAAAACAAGTACTTCTCATGAACACTTTCTTGTTGAATTACTGCTATCCTGCCTTACAGTTTTCAACATTAAACATGTCAGATTTCACAGAGAACAATTCAATTACATTAATTTTACTGTTATACAACACTTATGTAGCACAATAATTAATGTATCTGGACTTTGTTCACCACCCTAGTTGTCTATTAAAGAAATTTCAGAATGTGTTATATTTCCACCCTCACTTGGATAGGATATGAAAATATTCCTACTATTAGCCCTCTAGGTAGACCCTCTCTCATATCCTGGACCTTAACTGTATATAAAACTAGGATAATGGAAACAAGGTCCAAATAAACAGCCTTAAAATTCAGTTCAAATTACAGTCAACATTCTATGCTGATTTGTGTAGCTTTGTGAGATGAAGTTCTCATGGCAGCGACTAAGAGAAGTAACATAATTTTCTGGGATGCCACACTGTGTAGACTGATAAGATGATTAGACATTTTGTAGGAATGTATTGCCTCCATCTTCAGTGTTGAAGAGTAAACTGGGCAAGCAGGCAGAGTAACTCTGCTTGCCCAGCTCATTCATTGACCCTGATGATGGAGACAGCATTATATGTCAAAATGTCAGTTAACTTCAGCCAGTCTGCATTGTGTCACATCCTACAGTGTAACCTGCCGGTCACGGTAGCCGAGCGGGTTAAGGCATGCACTGTCTTCGCTCACTCGGAAGCTGAGATCGTGGGTTCGAATCCCACTCAGGGCATGGATGTTTGTGTGCGTTTTTCTGTGTTTGTCTACAGGCAGAGGCCTTGCGACGAGCTGATCACTCGCCCAAGGAGTCCTACCGCATGTGTAAGATCTAGAAAAACTGAAGTGAACAGAGAAGTTCGTGGAGGTAGGCCTAGGCCCACTGGGGCTGTAGTGCCAAGGGAAAAAAAATAGTGTAACTTACTTCATTTTAAGTGCATGGAAAATGAAGCTTACCTGCATCCCTGAGCACTGTAATTTGCTCACAGTGTACACAAAACATCTCAAATACCTAGAAACCTTTACTCTTATAAATGCTCCTCCATATTTCAAGGAACATTCATATATGTATATATCATATTTCTCATTGAATACGTTCATTTCTACATTCATAAACACTCCACTGCCAGTGTATGATGTAAATAAACAAATTTTCCACTTCGTTCAAGTTACAAAAGTGAGCATTATTTGGGTCATGGTTCTTACATACTTACCAATATCATGACTGAGAGGTATGCTATGAAGAATTGTGACTATTTACACAAAAACAAAAATAAGTTAACTTTTAAATAGAGTATGAAGACTATGTCAAAATATCCATGATGTAGAAAGGAAATGATATTACTGGAAACAAAAGAGAGCATCATACAAAAGGTTATTTTCAGGAATATGATGCAGCATTCTGTGGAGCACTTCAGCCACAGAATTAGCAACAATAGGACCATCATGATTAATGTCAGCCATACAGTGACACCTGGTGTTTAGCAAGAAAGAACCCCATCCTCGCTTCCTTAGTGACAGACATGTCTCATCAAAGTTTGCATACATACATGATAAAAAGATTTAAATTACTTGTATTTTGTTACTGCAATACATTCCTTATTTCTTCAACTGTAACTGAGTGAAACTTACCAATTCCACTGCCAAAATATGAAGCAAATAAACAAAAAAGAGAAATGTTTAATTCATTTCATAAGATGCTGATCACAATCATGAATAATGCCCTTAATTTACATAAGTGAACAACGGACTGACAGAGTATTTTCATTGTGTAAGGCATGAACATAATAAACTTATTATATTTTGATGTGTCATTATCCAAAACCTGAGCAAGAAATCCACTTGAGTACATGTAGATGTAGAGGGAATGATAATATTGCGACGTGTTGCGCTATGGAGGACACCCCCTCCCTCCCCCAGCAGTGATGTGGCAGCTCTGGCCACGGTAACGTAGCAGGTGAGTCAGCGCTCGCCCCCCCCCCCGGTTATATGGCACCGCTTCCTACTGTGACATGGCACGCAATGCCGCTGTTGACACAGGCAACAGGTAACAGCGAACGGAATAAAAAGCCGGCTGAGCAGTCATTGAGAGTTAGTGTGTGTAAGCCGGAACAACGCAGTTGGAATCTAGCAGCAGTCGCGGAAAGAAGAACCGGAAGTGTGTGATAATCAGTGATAGTTTGTGATAGCTGAGAAGTAATTGGGAGTGTGTAACACAGTGACACTTATATAGCTCCCGTACTGTGAATACGTGCAGACTACTGAAGATAGAGTGAAGAGATTATTGCGAATAGGGTTATAAAGTGTGAAACCCCGCAACAGTGTTACAATTAATTGTAGCCAAGACTTGTAGGTTGTTAAATAAACCAATTAACAATTGGAACAGCTTCTTCAGTAACAAAACACGTTACACTGGTGTCAGAAGTAGGATTGGACACTTACATACGTTACCAACAAGATTCAGTAACAAAACACATTACAATATTATAATGGATGTTACATAAATAAGGTGAAAACTAATGGCAGGCTCTTGTAAACATGATAATGTAGGTGATTTCAATAAATTTGTGAAATGATGTGACAATATGAGCAATTATTGGAATCTCGAGGATTCTGCCCCATGGAGTTAATCAGTCAGTTACAGTACCTGTTGCTGCTCTGTGTTTGGTGTGCCCATATTGGTATGGTTATCCACAAAGGATGAGTCTATAGATAGGTCACAACCTGATGGCACTTCTTCACAGCCAAGTTCATTGAGGGCACTCTTGATTACCTCCAACTGACGCTGCATTTCTCTCTCCCGGCACCGCAGTTCTTCCAATTCCCTCCTTCCAGGATCCACCCTGCAAATGAATCATCATGTTTGTGCCACAGCCCATTTTAGCATGCCACAGGCAAGCCATGTATAAGAGATGTTTCCATTGCTCTCACACTACAACCAGCATATACATCCAACCCTCTGAGGTAACTGTTGTTTCTTTGGTACAACTTACACAGAGTATAATGCAAGATTAGACTGTAGTGCAGGATTTCATGGAACTAGCTTTTAAATCCACCAGTCACACCCATGCCTATCAAATATGTGTGTAAGCACCATGGAGAAGTTTCAGTATGATAATAGAGACTGGCAGTATGTTACATACACCCACTCCCATCAAAATTGGCAGTGCTCTACACATTACAACAGTGGTTCTCAACCTTCATGAGACCGCGGCCCAGTAAGTTCTTTTTTTATAAGACGAGGGCACAGTCCCAACAAATGTACTTGTAAATACCTTTCCAGTTTTGTTAAAGTTCATGCATTAAGCTAACGTAATACTAGTAATTAATTATGGCATAATCATAAAGAGTATTAGTACACTTATGTATACGGTGTGGCATGTTGACAAACATAAAATTACATTTAAATTAGTTATCTTGTAGCATTTTGTAGTTTCCTCAGACAAACATCATTAAATTAATCTGTGCTAGTTTTCATTGACATATCCCATGCTGATCAACAAAAACTTATGTTATTCAGCGTAAAATTGATTATTGTATTATTAAATTGATTTTAATGATGTTGGTTTGAAAAAAATGGCAGTGAGAAAAATATTTATGCATTGTAACTCACCACAGAAGTCAGCTGAGTAGGGGACGAAGCAGAAGGATGTCAACTTGCCGGCGAAACACTTATTATCACATACACACGCAAAATAATTTATATGTAAAGTATGTAATTTAATAAATAAAAATGTATGAACCTCTCAATTCTAAACACTACTTCCAACACTAATTAATATTTTGATTTTAAAGATGCAGCACTTTAACACAGCAATCATAAGTTATTGGAAAGTTAAACTTAATTTCTTTTATCACGACTGAGTTTGGAAGGTTTTAGTTAGGCTAGTGAGATTTCTGTTTCTGTTTTCCATCTGTGAGCTTATTAATTCTGGGATTACTTGAAGTGAGAGCCAAATGGAGACAGTCAGAAAGTTGCAGGCAGTTCCTCTGTTTCGTTTTAAGCACAGTCATGGCAGAAAATGCAGTTTCACAAAGATATGTGGTGGAAAAACAAAGAAGAAACCTCACTGCTATTTCATGTAAATTTGGATATTCAATTTTCATTCTTATCCAGAATTTCGAATTACTTGTAGTATTAAAAGTACTTTCCAGTCCTTTGTCTGATGATAATTCAATAAGTTGAAGGGTTTCTTCATGGGAAAGGGCTGTCTCTTTGTGTTCAACAAAAGGGTTCACAATCCACATATTTTGCCTCCGGGGATCCTCATGTTTGGGATATTTTTCAAACGACATCATCATAATCTTCAAGTGGGCTGCAATAATATCTGAAACTGAACTCTGTGAATAGAAATCATCTGCTTCCATAATATAATCTGAGTACGACTGAAACATTTCATTGTTTCCTTCTGCAATCATATTAAGCCAGAGTTTGAGTTTCTTTTTGAATGATTCGATCTTGTTCCACGCATTAAATATTGTTGCATCTGGACCTTGAAGTTTTAAATTCAACTAGTTCATATAAGAAAATATGTCGCTGAGATATGCCAGCCTGGCTACCCATTTCTTATCCTGGAAATAATGGGGCAGGTTACTTTTCTTATCAATTAGAAAGAGCTCGACTTCCTTTCGGAGTTAATATAACCTCTTGAGAACTTTACCGTGGGACAACCAACGAACTTCCGGATGGAAAAGAAGATTTTGATGATCAGAGCCCATTTCATCGCACAATGCTTTTAACAGTCTTGTATTTAAAGCACTGTTTTTATATACTTAATAATCTTAACAGACTGAGACAGGACTTCGTTAGGCTCAGGTGCCTTTTTTTGGAGGCCAGATTTTGCCGATGAAAGTTAGCAATGCGTTGACACTAAGTTATTGTCCACCATATCCTTAATTTTAGTGACCAAACCTGAATTTCTACCTGTAAGACAGGCAGCACCATCAGTGCAAACTCCAACGCAATTTTTCCATTCGAGACCTCTCTCTTCAACGAAACCATTTAAAACTTTGAAAATTTCACTGCTGGCAGTGTGCGTAGGTAATTCAGAAACACTTAAAATGTCTTCCTTCATATCCCTCTCATCATGGTCAATATATCGTACATACGTAAGTAAAATGCTGCTGTTCTGAATATCTGTAGATTCGTCCAGTTGTAATGCAAACAATTTTGATTGTTTAATTTTTTCATGACTTGCGTTTCTCTATCTTCTGCCATATCAGATATCCACCTACTAACTGTATCATTTGACAATGGGATGTCTTTCATTTTACTTGCCGCGGACTAGCCCAAGACTTCATTACAAGCAGCAATAAAAGAAGGCTTATTGAGTTCTTCCCCAATGGAATATGGTTTTATACATTTAGCTATCTGTAGTGATATTAAATAGGATGCCGTCAAAAGTGAAGTGTCAGTGGTTGAAGCTTGGCAAATAATTTTCTTTTCTACTTTAAGTGCATCTCTTTTACGCATAAAGAATTCAACGGGTTTGTTGACTAGATCGGAATGTCCTGTGTTGAGATGTCGGGTAAGTCGCGATGGCTTCATAGCCTCATTTCCCAGAACAGTAGCACAAATGAAACACTGAAGTCATGGCAATTGGTGTTAGGGCATTGTATGAAACCAAATTTTAAGTAGCTGTCCATGTATTTACGAATGGATGCAGACTTTTTCTTCTGTGTGCTGGTGGTTTCCCCTTCATTTTGTACATCCTGGAGATCGCTATGTAGGCTTGAGGTGGATGACTTGTTGCGTCACAAACACCTTCAATGCGAGATTTCTTAACACCAAAATTAAACAAAGTCCCCTGTCTCTTATTCATATTAAAATTTAAATCACTCAGGTTTCGAAACAAGCACTTACACACTGCAATGCAAACTTGCGAAGAAACAGTATTCAGTATTACTAGATTTGAGAACCGGATACAGACTGCCTTGATCTTCAATTTCATTGGAAACATTTTCTTTATACTTCCTTGCTGGTTGGTCACTGATATTTGCAACACAGATGTTATTTCGCTCAGTTCTGAGAACAGAGGATATGCTGCCCATTGTTGTAATTGGCTTGCAGACAATTTTTATGACTGGTCATAAACATCTGTACTGCCTTTCCCGAATGTTGAAAGATTTGGATGTCTGAAAATTCCCCATCATTCGTGAATACTTCCATGTTCAAAAATAGGCGGCTTGGTCACTGACATTTGCTACACAGATTTAAGAGTTCTGTGTCTGAGCTTCTCGACACAAATATTATTCTCCTCAGAATATTTCCACTATAAAATATTTATTCATGAAAAATGCTTAGAAAATGAAAATGACAAATTCGAGAAGAGCCTCTCGCGGCCCAGTATAATTGATGCCAGGGCCCACTACTGGGCTGCTGCCCAGCAGTTGAGAAGCACTGCATTACAACATTCCTATACATTTAGATTAGTGACTAAAAGTTGTGTAAGACCAATGCCATTACAAATAACATAATGTACACCAGTGGTTCTCAACATTGTCAGACCGCAGCCCAGTAAATTCCTTTTCCTGTAAGACAAGGGACCAGTATAGTTGATGCCAGGGCCCGGTACTAGGCTGCAGCCAGGCGTTTGAGAAACACTGCTGTAAAATACACAATAAAGGTTTTACCCAGAACTGGACAAACGAACACAAAAAAGCATCATTTCTGAACTGACATCTACAGATTTCCAGGAAAGCAATGAGTTTCTACAGTCTGTAGACAAGCCTTCTCACAAAAATTTGGTCCTAATGTCTTACAGTAAGTGAGGAGCCAGGTGTCATAATTACAAAACAGAATGCCACTTTATGGACAATTTTCTTAATCTCCTATGTGTGTAATGTCACAGACTGTACATCAAACCACGCACCTCACAACATGCATGATGCATGAATTCATTCAAATCATGCACTTCGGAAACAGTTGTGCAAAAAAACAAGTCACCTTGTGGGGGCAGAGGCTGGTAGCAATAAGTCACACTTGACGGGTTAAAAACTCATAACTTTGGTTCTATGTAAGCTACAAAACTTGTTTTATGCTCACATGAAAGCTACGAAGTACTCTTTAAAGCAGTGTTTCATAATGTTCAAATCGGTGATAAGTTTACTTTCAGATCACATAATGAAACACTGCTTTGACAGTTGAATAAACATACCTTTGTTCATAAAGGCATACTTTCTTCACAAACCTACCATTTAACACATCTGGGTGGCATAAGTCATTGATGGGAGGGGACTTAACAGGAAAATTAGAACAATTAGAGACATTACTTACTTGGAAATATAAGCATCACTTCATGAAACATATTACATAAGTTAAAGCTCATCAGCAAAATACTGCAACTTCAGATTGTGGCCTTATAGGGTGTTGGCACTAAACAGTCTTATTGGTGGATAGAGGAGCATGCTGCTTCAACTTTGGGAGGTCGAAGTTATAAAGCAGTAGGATAGCGATGGGGTTACATTACATACATGGGTTCCAAGGGAGGTGGTAACTCAGATCCACAGAGGGGAAGGAGACAGAACCCAGTGTGGGCCAACAGGAGTGGTGAATAAGGGATGCGAGGGACATGAAACTGCGAGGAAATAAGTTGGTGACTCAGACCTGCAAGAAGAGGAAGAGGAGACAGAACCTGGGTCTGGGCCAATAAAAACAAATCCTCTCCATATCCCTATCATTATTACTAATGTAAGCTGTTACATTTAATTTTCATCACTTATGAAGTGATACCAGTTTTCCTTTGTGAATTTGTTTGCATTCTCAGCTGCTATGCATGTAGCTTCAAATATCAACTGCTAATGATAAATTGTCTCCATTTTGCCAAAATTTTTTACTTACCTCATGAGCATATCTATATGAGAATTCTTGTTGTTAGCAAGGTCAACATGTGAAGTATGACTGGCCTGTTTCTCTTGCACCTCCTTCACAGCGGACTCAAGCTCTGCTAATTTCGCTCTCAACCACTCTATAGTAAGGTTGTCCACTGTCAGCTGGCTTGGTAACAACTTCCCTGATGTGTCCTCAACTAGGCTGTTGTCAAATGTGAATGGCACTGGTGAAGTTGGAGTTGTTCTTGAATAAAATAAGTTTTAATAACGAATGACATGAGCATTTTAGGGTCTCAAAAGATCAGACATTTAAGATTTTAATAACATTCATATTAATGTGGCATGTATTTGTACAATATCAAAAACAAACAAAACAAATTCCGTGGCTTCAGTCCGCAAGCAAACTATACCGACCGAGTGACCGCTGCTTGTCGGCAAAGTTAGTGTCAACTTTAGTGGATAGACAGTGTCGCGTGGTCAGTGCAACAAATCCCCACGGCCATTAATTTCGGTTTTCTAAACCGAAGCCACTATTTCCTTGAAATAGCTCCTCAATTATCCTCACAAGGCTGAGTGGACTCAGTTTTAGACCCACTGCTTCTCAGAAAATGTTGCAGCGCTGAGAATTGAACACAGACCTCTGGATCTGTAGCCAGGAACTCAGACCACAGAGGCGGTCTTGTACACTATGACCATTACATATTTTACCTGTAAAGTTATGATGACTCATTAGTTACTATCAGCATAATGAAACAGACATTCCACCTACAGCATATATGGGCATACAAGACAATCCCAAATTTTAAATTAAAAACTAAGTTTGGGGTTATACTTGCCAGATAAAATAGCTTCTCTTAGCAGGTCAAGTCATGATGGGATCTGAGTATTATGGTGATACTGTTTGCCTTTAGAGATTGTTCACAGTAAACAAGAACGGTAACCTCAGACTCAGGCTTGCATGGCTTGGCTGATATCGACTGGCTCACAGAAAATCATTTATATTCACACTGGTGGACATCTAGATTGCTGCTTGAGTCTAATGTTTGTTCACATGACATCAACTGTTGCAAACGGTATGTGGTGTTAAGTTCATACTGGTAACCTTGCATTTATGGTAATTGTGATCATGCTTTCCCACCATACTTTATTTCATTATACCTTTTACATTAATTACATATATAACACATGAGTTTCAATCAGAAATAACTATAATGGGAGTAAAGGGATGCATAACACTTGTTAAATCTTAAGCAGCATGAATGGATTTAATGTTCACATTTTATGTTTCAGGTACAAGATTCTAATTTCCAGGGACTCTTAGCTTACAGGGTCATCTTGTATGCTAGCAAAGAAGATAAATGAATTACAGTCATTAACATCAAAGGTACTGTGATGAGTTATATTACGTCCGTCACTGCGACAATCGCTACAATCGGAACGGACACTTCCACGACGACGAATACGTGGAAATTGTGGAGTTCCCGCAGCGAAAAATTGTAGCAATAAATTGTCGTTGAGTAACGACGTATGAGATGAAACATATTACCAGTGTAATCTATAAGGAGCATTCCCGAAGCAATGGATTGCCGAACACGTGAGATCAAACCTTGGCGAGGGGTGTCCTCTATTGAGTCCGCATAACCCCTATATAAGCAGAGCTTATGACACGTATCAGAGAATTGAATCAACTATTGAGACAGAAGCCAAGTGATACTACAACTGATAATAATTGTAAAGAGTGTAAGAGTGAATATCCAATAAAGATTTGCTAAATCCGAGATTCACATGAAGTTATTTGTCGCGTGACATACCCAACATGTGACAGTATTATGATGAATACAATTGACATTTTTTATCCATTACAAATTTGACTGGAATACTCTTGCTCTTTACCATTCCTACAGCCTTTTCAGGAGTTTGCTACTTCATCATGTTAAAGCAGAGTACAAGATGACATCATGGTGCCTGCGTATAATCTATATGTTCTGTCCATATGAAACAGCGCTTACATAACTGAAGCTATGCTCATAATTTACAACATACTTGTGCTTTTCTGTGAAGTCCTTATACTCTTGGTTTGGTCGAATGGCTTCTAGACTAGCTTCCACCCTGTTCTGCACCTCACGGAACTTTTCAGAACACAGACTTGTGTACTGTGCAACTTCTTCAAGAACTGTTTTCCTGTACCATAAAAGACATGACAAATTTCAGGTCTCTTTGGATGATACAAAATCTGCTCTTACTGGATGATAATATAGTTACCATAAAGAAAAACACACAAACTTTAGTTGATGCAAGTAAGGAGGTTGGTCTAGAAGTAAACACAGAGAAAACTAAGTATGTGTTGCTGTCTCATCACCAAAATGCAGATTTTGATCTTTACATAACAATAGGAAACAGAAGTTTTGAAAATGTGGCACAGTTCAGATATTTGGGAGCGATGATAAAAAATCAAAACCTGATTCACGAGGAAATTAAGATTGAACTCAGGTAATGCTTGCTACCATTCAGTCCAGAACCTGTTGTCTTCTCGTCTGCCATCCAAAAACTTCAAAATTAGAATATACAAAACTATAATTATGCCTGTGGTTCTGTATGGGTGTGAAACTTGGTCTCCATCATTAAGGTACGAACACAGTCTGAGGGTGTTTGAGAACATTTGGATCAAAGAGGAACAAAGTGACAGGAGGTTGGAGAAAACTGCATAATGAGGAGCTTCATAACTTGTACTCTTCTCCAAGTACTATAAATAGAACGATCAAGTCGAGGAGGATGAGGCGGGCAGGGCATGTAGCACGAATGGGGAGAATAGAAATGCATATAGGATGTTGGTGGGAAAGCCAGAAGGAAAGAGACCACTGGGAAAACCAAGGCATAGGTGGGGGGACAATATTAAAATGGATCTTAGAGGGAGAGAATGGGATTGTATGGATTGGATTGATCTGGCTCAGGATATGGACCAGTGGAGGGCTCTTGTGAACCTGGTGAAGGACCTTCGGGTTTCATAAAATGCTGGGTAATTCTTGAGTGGCTGCACAATTGGCGGCTTCTCAAGAAGGGCTCAGCTCCATAAGTAAGTACAAAATCTGCTCTTAAACTTAGGGGGTATACAACAGGCTGTGCATGTAACCAGGAAAAACACAAGGAATGTATACAGGATTTTGGTGGTTAAACGTCAAAAATGTCACTTGGAAGACTTGAGACTATTTAAAGGAAATCAGATGATCCATTAACATATCCGATTCTAAAATAAATATTAACTGATAGCAGAGTGGTTGCAGTTTCACTGTTAATTACCACTTGAATGGTGATTCAGGAATGATAAATCAGACCTTCAAAACATTAAGTCACTAGGCATACAAGGCTCTGAAATAATGGCACTTGCTAAACCGGCATTAGAATATGTGAATCATGACCCAATAAAAACTTATAAGAGAAGATGACATAAACATATAAGCGTTTTATGATAATTGCAAGATACAAACTATCACAATGCAAAATTGATGAAGGAATTATGACAGAATTAAAAATTCCATAAAACACAGAATTTATAGAATATCAAACAAACTGGAAAGACCAGGAACCCCCCTCCCTAAAAAAAGATTTTAAAACAGTATCAACCAGAAGGAAGTAGTAGTTTTGGAAGACCTCTGAAATGATGGATTGTTTCATAACATTCATAACAGGTCTTAACAGGAACAGTACTGGAAAGGCTGATGATGATGATGATGATGATGATGATGATGATGATGAGCTATGGAAATACTAATGGAACAATTACAGTATACACTCACCAAGAAAGAACAAAGGCCTCCTGAACAGCTTGCTGATAGTCAAGCAGACCTGGAAGAAGCACTGTACGGAAGTCCCGCTCATATTCAGCTGCCTCACACAATAGCAGTACATATTCATTGTGTGTCAGGTGTAGTTTGCGACATGCTTTCTGGTATTTATCTCGCACTTCATCCAGCTTACGTCCTCCTCTACCAGCTATTGCAAAGTAAATAAGCAATATTAGCCAGTCTAACTACTTAATTTGGTACACTTCAATTACTCACAAAATTTAAATTTATTATATATACATATGGAAGATGATATCAAAATAGATCTTGGAAAAATGGCTTCTGAGGATGTGAATTGGCTCAGGAAAGGGTACAGTGGTAGGTGTCTGTGAACATGGCAATACAGAACATTTACCACTTAGATCACTATCAGCATTTCACAGACTGCAATAAAAACCAAACTTTAGGAACATCACATTACTGACAGTCTGTACAAATATACATAATGGATTGTCAAAAATTAGCAGGTTTTCTATTCAACTAACATAAGAAGCAAAATGAATTGTTTCTTTAAATTCCACAATACTAGCACTGATGTGGGGGACATGGTACTAGCATAGTTGGTTGAGGTACTATGCTACAGGCCGGAAGGTCGTGGGTTCGAGTCCCGATGAGGTGGATTTTTTTTTTCAATTGACCTAATCCTTCCAGCTGCACTATGGCCCTGGGGCTGACTCAGCCTCTAACAGAAATGAGTACCAGGAATCTTCCTGGGGGGGTAAAGGGCGGTCGGCACATAAGGCTGACAACCTTATCACCATCTGTGAGTTGACTGTCTATAGAAAATGTAGGAGACTCAACATCTCACAACCCTATGGGTCTTCATGGGCTATTACAGGGATAGCTTTACCTTTACTGACACTGATGTTACAATTATACTTCATGTATTATGGAAACAAGGGTGCATCATCAGTTAGTGAAATACACCATTATGTCATCATTAGAAAGTCATCAGATACTATTTTCAACATACTTTGAATATTCATACACCAGTGGGAAATTCAAACATACACAGGAGTTTTGTTCTCTAATGTTGCCTACACAAGGTAAAGGTTCTCACAGTAACTATTTATAATTTATTAATCATTCACCAACCAAATTCTTCCAAATTCTTTCCATTTCATCATTTGCCAAGCACTATATAGGCAGAGATACTGACAGCAGTGTAAATAAATGTATGCTCTACTATGAGATGGAACCACGAACACAACAGTACTAACAACACTGTCAGCAGCTCAGACAATATGGTGCCAAATGACAGGGTAATTTGGTGAATAATATTGTAACGTGTTTCGTTACTGAATACGCCGTAGAGATCGTTAATTGGTTTTTTGAACAATCTACAAATATCGGCTACAATTAATTATAACACAGTTGCGGGTTTCCACACTTTACAAACCCTACAACCAAAATCTTCACGTACTAATAACGTGGGGGCTATACAAATCTCCCTGAATTACACACTCCAGGTATAACTGTACTACAGCACTCACTAAGTCTCGAAAGCACACAATAAGTCTTCCGCTCACTGACTTCTTAGTTATAGCACACTCGCAGGCTGCTACCTTGAGAACTGTTGATAACACACTCGCTCGACTACTACTTAACTAGGCGACTGTCACATTACAACTCTGCGACTGTTACGTTACAACTGACTCGCAGCCGCTGTGCAGCTCACTTATATAGCCGCAGTGCTTGCCTGTTGCGTAATGAGTGCCACGTCATCCTGTTACGTCACCGATGTTGACTCGCGTTGCAAAGCTACCAGGTTGCGGGGGCTCGGCTACTACGGCTCCGCTCGTGACGTCACCGCGGGGAGAGTGGCGGGGTGATGACTCGCCTATTACGCGAGCGCTACGTTACCGCCACGTGCCGCTGGGGAGGTAGGGACCCTTTGTTGCGCAACATGTCACATATTAGGTTTGAGGTTCTCACAGCAGTGCCTATGAAGGGTACTGTCTTCTTGGATGACAATACAAAATCCTGAAGTTCACTGATGGTTTGGAGGAATGCTTCAATCTTCAGGGTTGAAAATAAGCCTAGAAAGTTATTAACACAATTCTGCTTACTGTCTTGGCTTTTTTTTAATTCGTTTAGTGGGGGGGGGAGTCCAACTGGGTCCATTCGGCATGGCAGCCACTAAGTGGCCTATTGTAGCCTGCCCCGGGTGATTACAATGATGGAGAATTTAGTGGAATGAAAAATGACAGGGGAAACCCATGCCAGCGCCACTTTGTCCACCATAAATCCCACTTGACCAGACCTGGGATCAAACCCGGGCTGCCACGGTGGGAAGTCAGCAACTAACTGCTTGAGCTATGGCGCAGCCTACCTGCTTGGCTTACTCTTTGACTCCAAAATGTCAGCAAACTTCTGCCAGACTACACTTGCCACATCCTAATTTGAAGTACAGTTGTGATGTTTGGAGGGATTGAGAAGCAGTAAGGAAGCTCAGCTAGGATGCCCATAATATAGCACTCTATGTTATATGACTTAATCTGCATCTGTTTGTGACAGTGGATGTCTGCCATGATAAGGCTAATTCTTTACTTACATTTAACATAATGCTCCTCAAACCTTGATCGCATAAGCTTGTACAATTCCAGATATTTCTGATACTCTGTCTTCTTACGGGCTACATCATCGGTCAACTGAAAGATAAACAAATTAAACAATGTCAAACCTACTATTATATATTCTAGGAAAACATACTGACAGAAATTCTTTAGGAAAAACATTTTGTAGGAATGTACATGTTCCTTTCTTATGGGAAAAAAAATGTATGTCTGAGATAATCACCACAACATCTGTGCCTGTCACAAAAAATTTGCTGTAAATATTATACAATTACAGCTACCATGACTGCATACTTTCTCATTATGTACAATGAATAACAAAACATGGCAACCATCAGATTTTCAAGGTTTCTGCTCCATGGAGGTATGGGAAGTGGATGTAGAGTTCTGGGTATTAGGAGACCTTTCAAAAATAACAAAAGAGCATGCACATACACGTCTGGGGAATACATCCAAAACACACAGCTCTCACTCTCTCCACCTCTCCAAGCTTCAAAGGGTTAATGTGCAAATTGAACTCCCTTCCCACTGAGTATTCTAGCTGTTTGCATCTATTCACATGGAAGCTTGTAAAATGGAGATAACATCTTAAGTACTTCATAGAACTTCTAATTATGATTTCAATCCTTCATTACATTCTGAACATTTAACATGCTGAAGTACAAGCTATGCAAGATAGCAAATGTGCCATATACAGACGCTACCTCACATCTGCAACTTAAAAACTGAAAATTTATGTTTAACTTTATTAAAAATATTTTCACTTCAGCAAGGGTCACAAAATCCAATTATGATGCACTGAACATATGACAAGTTGCACAAAAGGTTAATATGTTTGTATTTCCAGGGTCAAATGCTAAGGAAGCCCATACTAAATCTTACCTGAGGAGTCATCAGTATGGGACAAGGCAGAAGAGAGGAGGGTAAACATTGCTTGTGCCAGAACTTTTCAACCCTTTGTTACACACAGCTTCCAAAAGTTACGAATATAGGAAAATCAAGCAATTTAACTGAGATTAATTGATACTGACAGACAGTTCACTTGATCTGCTTTCAGATATACGTAATAAAACAATGCACAAAACACCACACATTTTAGAAAACTGATTACAGGTAGGAACACAGAGAGGCAAGGTGTATGTGTCAGTTTATGGAGTGATGCTACCATACATGGGAACAAGAACAGAGTACATCAACAGTTTCTGTTAAACATGTAAGCTGCAAACTTCGGTGACATCTGAAATGAAAACGTTTGCTGAAAAGGATAAGCAATACCAATCACAAATAATAATTAAATCATTTCAGAATATTATCGACTGAAGATAATACATAGAAACCATGCTGCAATTGTCAAACAAGCTATCTACAAGAAGGCATGAAGAACTGCTAACAAATTGTAATTGAATAATTTCATAATACTGTGCTGGAGAAAACTGAATCATGAGTAGCTTCAAAACTTGTACTTTTCACAAAATGCAATCAGAAAGATGGAGTCAAGGAGGATGGGCAGGGCACATTGCAAGCACAGGTGAGAAGAGGAATACATAAAGGATTCTGGAGGCAAGTCAGAAGGAAAGAGACCACTGGGCATAGACAGTTGGGAAGATAATATAAAGACAAATCTTAAGAGAAATAAAATGAGGGGTATGGACTGGATTTAATCTGGCTTAGGACATGGGCCACTGGCGAGCTCTTGCACACACAATAATGAACCTTTGGGTTAAAAAAATGTTGAGAAATTCTTAAGTAGCTAAGTGACTGTTGGCACCTCAAGAAGGTCTCAACTCCATGGAGTTAGTTTGTTAGTTAATTGAATAAATAATTTCAGAGTATTCATGTTTTCCCAAAACATCAGTATACACGTACAAGAATATTACGTGTCAACCCGAAAAACCATAATCTGAATAATCACTGACATAAAATCCTTTGTGAGGATGGTCTGCTTTTCCTCCAAGAATGGGTAAGATATTGATCAGAAGCATAAGCAGAGATGATAATAAGAAGCAACAATTCTGACCTATAAAACACGGCTTGGGCAATGAACTGGTGGTAACCTAATTATTAAGACATTCAATCCTCTTCTCACTTCCAACAGCCTCTGGTACTTTTATTAAATTTGCCAGTTTTACTTCAAAACAGCTCTGTGAATCACAATGATAAAAGGTAAAGTTGCCTCCGTGCTTTAACCAATTGAGCACTACGACATGAAGGTGTATGGGGAGTGGATATATAGATCCACATTTTCTTGACCTCAGCACTAGCTGGAGGTGAGTGGTCAGCTTCAAGCCCCCACGGCTTTAACCCCAGGGGAGGGGGGGGAGATATCCCCCCCCCCCCGGGTACACATTGGATAGGAGATCGGGTGAATCACGATGACCTGTATCAAAGCTACATTTGCCTAGAGCAATAATATCGTTGCTTATATCTAGTAAAATCCCCACCTTCTCAAACATACAGCTTTTTCAGTCCGTCCTGCCTGCTTTGTAGGAACCCGATATTCGTAGTTCGGTGAACTCTACGTGGAAAACGGATCACAAGCTACAAGTTAATGTCAAGAGATGCGTGAGGGCATTTACAGTATTATAACGGATCCCCTCCTGCACACACCGCACAACATGGTACGGTATGAGAGTTAAATAACTGGACTGATTTTATTAAAATAATGCTACAATTAGAATGATGTAGGATTTTTGGTTCTTACAGCCGTGATTATGTGGAGCTGTATCTTCTGGGACATAGGGCCGTGCAGTTCGGCGAAAGTCAACCGACGTTTCGGAAGTACATATCGCCTCAAATTTCAGGACTGAAAGCTAAGCCAAGCAAGAAACCACCATGAAGCACCAGCAACTTAACAAGTGCGGACGTTTTCAAAATACTAGTCTTCTGAATTTATACGTGCATGATAAATTGTATTCCATGCCTGGAAACAATTTTCTGGAAGCAGTTTTCAGTGTTGTCACCACACTATTCTGAATGTCTACAACACATTAAAACCGAGGCCCCTTAATATGAATTTTTAGTTTCGGGGGCACGAAACGCTTTACCGAAAGTGCTGCAAGGGAAGGGAACGCCTCTGCTGTCTACTGGTCAGAGTTTCTGCCTACAGATCCAGAGGTCCCGGGTTCGATTCCCGGCGCTACCAGATTTTCTGAGAAGTAGTGGGTCGGTAACGGGTTTCACTCAGCCTCGTGATAATTGAGGGGCTACTTCAAGAAAATAGCGGCTCCGGTCTAGAAAGCCGATTAACGGCAGTGGTGATCCGTTGCGCTGACGACGCGACAACCTCTATCTGCAAAATTTGGCACTATCTTCGACGACGGGCGGCGGTCGCTCGGTCGGCATAGTTCGCTTGCGGACTAAAGGCCACGGAGTTCTTTTGTTTGCTGCAAGGGAAGGCGAATTGTCTTGATGCAAAATCCACATGTCTAGCCAACACAGTTGGTCATTTCAGACTAATGGCCTACCGTAAACATTCTGAAACTTGAATCTAGAATATATGTTGACAAGGCACAAATTCATAACGGGCAATTTCACTTGCACTAAAAGAGCACATCAGCTTGATTCAGACTTTAGATTTTAACATTCGCGCTTTCTATGCATTCGTAGCTCTCAGGTCTATTCAATGGAGACCTTCGCATCTTATTTCTGGGTCGTACTAAAAATCTCAAGCACCAACACCAATCGCTACTTTCCTTCCGAGAAGTTGACATCAACGAACAATCTCGCTGAACATGTGAATCTGTTTTCTCATTTTTTGACAAGACGCTGAGGTAGTGAACGATTATTAGAATCACAAAACAGACTACAAACAAATGATTCACATGAAACCGTTAAGACTATCTAGGCACGTGATCCAACAAGCTCAAACTCGTTCATATCATAGCAGTAAACTACTGCTGGGCCGCGAGAGCACAGTTCTTCCTGGTTTCGGGCCCCGTCGGGACTCGTGACCAAATCTTTTTTTTTTCAAAGACCATTATGTGTTTGGAAATGAAACCACCTCTTCGACGAGAGGAGCGGTTCGTCTTTCTGTATAGGCGCCACATTTGTTGCACCGTAATTCAGCACGTGTATCCGCACTCACACAGCGTCCAGTTTAGGGCATTTATACTTTACGGACGCCATACGCATTTTATCACTTTCCTGCAATGAATATACAGATGACCTTTGCCAATGCAGGCTGTGCAGCACGTTATGACTTATTTATCTGGCAGTTAGACACCTGAACGGTTGCAGGCTTACCGCCGCCAAATACTTCCTCTGCACGGCTTCTCCACGTTCAATTGCACGCACATTTACATTCAAGTGATTTTTTTTACGACTTCTGCCTATTTCTAAGTCGTTGGAATTTCCAGCTGCTGCATTAGCATACCAGTCCAGTTACTAAACTATCACACATCGTAAGCACCAAGGCAACACGCTTCACATACATGTCTACTCCAAACTATGACCCTGAACCCAGTCAGACCCGGTTCATGATCGCCGTCCTCTGGCTCTTACGTCTTCCGGGCGGCAATATGAACTCTTACTGGGACTAAGACGAAAAGGCTTTCAGGGACGTTCTCAGGTCAGACTAAAAGGCAGCATCACGAACTACGTTCGCAGGCAAACATCGCAAATTACGTGTATAGTATCCGGACGTTTCATTTCCGAATTTATATTAAGTATCACGACAAAAGTTGTTGCACAGTTCGTATAGGTTCAATGCACGGCTAACTTTACATGCTCAGAATATTGGATTTTTTAAAGGTCTCATTATGCACGGAAATTTGGCACATAATATAAACAGACCTAAAATTTTATTTGAAATGATGAATACTTAATGACATGCAAAGCAATTTTTAACTTCTAACTCTATGCAGTTCAGTTTCCTTGCAAAGTACATGACCAACATGGCTAGGAAGGTATAAGAACCAAAATACAATGCATCTATAAAATATTTGTACCCCACAAGAGTACGCCCTCACTCTTGTTTAAGTATGGTCAAGACTACTTTGGATTCTTCGTTTATTAGATTATGTCCTCCGGCCTATTAGATAATTCTGCAGCTAAGTTCCCTTTGTTGCTCTGGTAGG